CTGAGGAAATAGCGGCAGGCTTCTTCTCTCAACCAACCAGCCTGTAAACCGCCCACCCAACCACACAGCTGGTCTGTGCTCTGGCTTCAGATCACCAGATTCGGTTTAATCCAAGCGCCTCACCCAATCTCTGAGATCTTCCAACACCAGGAGCGCTGGACTTGTGCTGGACGTCTTGTCTCTGCACCCAACCGACTGCGCTCTTCCCATCACCTGAAGCACCCAAGCGCATGGGCCAGGAGAGCAGTAGCCAGACTGCTCCAAGGTCAACACCAAGAACAGGTTCCCAGGACGGGGAAGATGCTGAGGTCCACACTGAGTCTGTGAAGAAGAGGAAGTCCCCGCGGATGCTCGCCTGAGGTCAGCCGCAGGGCACTGCGCGGGCTTCGCGCTCCTTTTTGTGAACCCAGCAAGGCGCCCTTGGTTCCTGGTCTCTGGAAGACCCTCTTCTGAGGATCTCCGGGTAGAGCTCAGGCTCTGCTGGAGGTGCATACAAACTGCCTGACTTTGACTTGGAGCGTGAGGTGCCCGTCAAGGGCATGACAGCACATGCCAACAGAACCCGGGTGGGCTGAAGCGGAGCCAGGCTCCAGGTGTCTCTGGGGCATATCTCCATCAGTGTCCCACGAAACAGGAGTCCTCTTCCAAGGGCTAGTCACCTGCTGGTCTCGCAAAGCCTCTGCTCCTGGGTGAACGTTGCAGAATAGCGCGATCCTCGTTCCATTTAAGGTCAAGATTAGGAAAATAAAACCTAGAAGCATTTGTGATCTAACTAGAACGAGATCCTACAGGAAGTATGGAATTTTGTATTTTTAATGTAAATAGATCACCACACATTAAAGAGAAGACAACACTCAAGACTTCTGTGCCACAGAAAGCCTTTGCTTTCTGTTTTAATGCCATAGAAAATCTACTTCTAAATCCACACATACTTGATGTAATTGTCTCTATTTTGCTTTCTAAAAATCCCTCTTTGTGGCCCTTCGATCAATCACAGGCATGCATGCTTTAGACTGGCCAAAGCATGGAATGCCCATTCAGCTGTAATCCTGTGTTCTCTATTCACAGCCTGGCTACAGTTCATGATGCAGTGAAAGAAGACCAGATGGGGGTGTCAGCATTCTCACCCCAGCAATGAGACTCTGTGAGCACAGTGCATGGACACCTGGGCACATGGAGGTGTACCTGACAGGGGGGCTCGGAATACCAAATGAATTTGAAATAAAAGAAGGAGAATGCAAGAGCAGGTCACTGTTACTTTCTATTCTTTGACACCCTCTTTCACCCACAGCAAAGGAGGGCAGAGGCAGGCAGTGTTGTATGGGCCAGGACTCAAGTTTCCACGGGTGAAGAGCAAGATCCTCAGGAGAGAGGCAGCCACTCCATACATAGAATAGGACCTGCGGAGGCCCTGACTAGAGGAGGTTCCTGGGCAGAGGGATGGAAGGAGGAGGGCACGTGGCACCATAGCACAGGGGTACTCCAAGGTCTGGGAATATGAGAGAGCAGGGTGGGGCCTTCGGATTCAGGCTCAACTGGAGGTGCCAGTCCCTGTCCTGAGCAGCCCTGAGACCACACCCAGCTGCCAGCCTGCTTGAGCACCTGGCCTACCACAGGGAGGTCCATGGGCCTGTAGAGCCTGTGTCACCTCCAGCCTTGAGTGACAACAAGTACACAGACACTGAGCCTCCTATGGGAGAGTGGGGGACTAGGTGTGCAGATGGGTCAGAACAGAGTGGGACTAAGTTGTAGTGAGGCCACCTCTGTGCGTGCAGCTTGGTTCCTTCATGCAGATCTGGATAAAAATTCAGAAAAGAAGCAGGTACTCTGTTATTTTTTACTTCAGTGAATATTAAAAATCACACACAGAAAATTAAAGGAATTTTTTTTTTTGCATTAAATAAATGGAACCCAGAATAGCACGATCCTCTTTCCATTTAAGGTCAGTTGCTGATACATGATAAGTCACTTCACCCAAGCTAAGGAATACACACCAATACATTGACAACCCAGCAGCAGGCAGTTTTGTGCTTCCATAATGTTATGGAATGGGCGAGTTGGTTTTCGTATGGAGGGTTAAACCTCAAGGCACTTGCCCATTGAGCCACATCCCCACCCTTTTTTAAAACATTTTTATTTGTTTGTCTGTTTATTTATTTATTTATTAGTGACAGTGACTCACAAAGTTACTTAGGGCCTCACTAAGTTGCTGAGTCTGGCTTTGAACTCACAATCCTCCTGCGTCAGCCTCTCAGGCCACTGGGATTACAGGGATACAACACCACACCTGGCTAGGGGTGGAGTTTACACTCAGATGCTTCACCAGATCCAACTGCTGTCAAGGCTCAGGCCTGAGTCTTCATCACAGAAGTGGGCTCTAGGGCCCTCTGTGTGCTGAACATGGGCTTTGAAGTGGTTGCTTCGACTTAG